CAGAAATAAGAGGGATCAAATAAAAACTGAAAATACAAAAATTAAATAGATTTAATTAAATATCTTGTTAAAAGCTTCTTTAAGTAAACTGAGTTTGTAAAAATTTGATTAATTTCCCAACAAGTGAAGATTTAGTTCATTTCCAGGAGTTTTTTAGTGCAACGTCACAAACATTTCAGGCTAAAAATTAAATTTAAATAATCCAAATCAAAACGAGAAAACATTTTTGTAAAAATGATGATTATTGAAAAGACTTCTGCAAAGATACAAGAAGTTATTTATTTTGTTCAAAACAAACAAAAATCATTTCAAACTGAAATGAACAGGGACTCAAAAAAAGAGGAATTTTTGCTCAAAATAAATCATTTTTTATCTGAAAGGAAAGCAAAAATTCTGACTTAATGAGCAAAAGAGAATAAWATTCTCAAGTTTTTCATCTGGAAGAAACTGACTCAGTTCTTCATGCTGCTGATGCAGAGTCTGTAAATCAGATTTTGGTTAAAATTCAGGACGTTTTGAGCTCAGGGTTGATCGTTTTTACTCCAAATGAGCAGGTTCTCCCAGGTTGAAAGTGTTCTCTGTATCTGAGTTCTTAGAACGATCCACCCGAGCAGGAAACGCTCTGTACGTCTCGTCTCCCTGCTGCTGTGAGGCTGAGCTCGGGGTAACACAGGAAACACAGGGCAGGTCACAGCTGCAGAGGAGCTGAGAGGACAGAACCGCTGCAGAACCGCTGCAGAACCGCTGCAGAACCACAGGCATGATGAGGATAACAGAGCTGCTTCCAGTCCTGCTGCTGGTCTCCACAGGTACGCTTCTCCTTTACCTGCTCCAGTTTGACTTTTAGAGGCTTCAGTCGCACCTGGACAGGTCTCTGGTCCATGAGTCACACCTGGACAGGTCTCTGGACCATGAGTCACACCTGGACAGGTCTCTGGACCATGAGTCACACCTGGACAGGTCTCTGGACCATGAGTCAAACCTGGACAGGTCTCTGGTCCATCAGGGCCACCTGGACAGGTCTCTGGTCCATCAGGGCCACCTGGACAGGTCTCTGGACCATGAGTCACACCTGGACAGGTCTCTGGTCCATCAGTCACACCTGGACAGGTCTCTGGTCCATCAAAGACACCTGGACAGGTCTCTGGTCCATCAGTCACACCTGAACAGGTCTCTGGTCCATCAGTGCCACCTGGACAGGTCTCTGGTCCATCAGGGCCACCTGGACATGTCTCTGGTCCATCAGGGACACCTGGACAGGTCTCTGGTCCGTCAGGGCCACCTGGACAGGTCTCTGGTCCATCAGGGACACCTGGACAGGTCTCTGGTCCATCAGGGACACCTGGACAGGTCTCTGGTCCATCAGGGACACCTGGACAGGTCTCTGGTCCATCAGGGACACGGAGACAAACATTCACTCACTCTGGAATTTAAAATCTGAATCTCATGAATTTGAATCTAAACACTGATTTAACAGAAACTCAGACTGGACATAAAAAATTAGCTAACAGAGGCTAACTTCCTTTACTTTAAC